AAAAAAAAAAAAAAAGGCAAAACCAGAAGGTGTAGGTTTGTCTTTTTGCTGTTGGACAGAGCCTCACCACGGAGTTCAGGCTGGTCTTGTGCAGCCCAGGCTGGCCTCAAACTCTCAGCGATCCTCCTACCTCAGCCTCCCTCCTGAGTGCTGGGATCACAGGTGTGCGCCACCACACCCGGTGCAGATGGAACAGGTTTATTCTCTCAGTGGCCTTTGTACAATGGCTATGAGCTCTTATAATACCTGCTCTAGAAAAATACAAACAAATAAAATAAAACCTGCTCTCCAGACTGGTACCGATAGAACCAGGAAAATAATTTTCATTGAGCAAAGGAGAAAATGAGGTAAAATCTTAGGCGTAGTCAATAAAACAGATTTTATACACAAGGAACAAAGACTACTGATACTTTTGGAATTATGCAGGAAGGGGTATGATTGGGCCATGCTGTCTCCTAAAGGTGACAGGTGCAGGGCAAACTGAACTCTGAGACAGCCCCCAAAGGAGGTGACACCTGTTCCTTGGCACAGGTCTGCCTCACTGGAGAGGATGACGTGCGACCCGGGCTCCAGCACGCACCGGTCAGTTTCCGCAGCTGGTAGGACAGCAGGTGGAAGGGCCCGGTGTAGGGGATGGCCTGGGTCTGCCTCACGGTGCTCATGGCCAGGTCGGTGTAGTCTAAGAGGAAGCGAGGAGAGCACTGTCAGAAACCATGCCAGGCCCACACAACTGGAGCAGCAAACACACAGCAGGGCGGAAACACAGATGTACACTCAGCGAGAACGCATTCTGTCGAGATGCACCTACGGTTCCCTGCTGCCCCCAGCCGGTCACAGGAAATGCCCTCACCCGGGACGCCGTCCCGCCTGTCTGGAGCCGCTGTGACCCAGGCTTCAGAGCGCGCTGGGCATCATCAGCCCCATCCCCTCCCATCCTGGCGCCGGCACCAGGCTGAGTGCAGAGTGTGTGCCAACCGTGCCACACGCCGAGTGACTCAGGCAAACTCGGAGAAGAGGCAGCTCATACACTGAAACATCCCCTCCAGCCCCTGCACACTTTCTCCTCTCTGCAAGGGCCTCAGCTTACATACATTCGTCTCAGGCTATGAGGCTAGCACTATTTCCTCCCAAAGAGGTCCCAAGGCAACGATAACAAAGAAAATAACACAAATAAATAAATAAATAAATAAGTAAATTCTATGATGACGGGGAGGAATCCTTCAAAAAGCATGGATGCCAAAGAGAAATAAGCACTGGTCAATTAAACCGTAAAAATAAATACTTAATTAAAAAGTGATGAAAGAGGATGTCCCCATTGTTGACCATGCTTCTGGAATGGCAAATGGCAGACAGGCCAGCAAGTGACGGAAGTGGACAGCCATGCAGGGCTGGGTGCCACGTGCCCCACAGCACAGGGCCCTGGCTTGACCCTAGCACAAAACAAAACCCCCAATCCCAGCACTGGGGAGGCTGAGGCAGGAAGATCGCTGCAACTTCACAGCAGACCCTGTCTTAAAAAACAAAAGCAAAGCAAACAAAGGAAGTAAACCCCCAAACTCCAGTCTCTGAAGAACAAAATGCTCTGGGGAAGGGCAGGCACTTCATAAAATACAAGTACCCTGCTGTGCTGCCCTAGGCCAGCAGGAGAGGCCACCTGCCTTAGGGTGAATTTGTTCTGGGGAGGAGGAAAACTGATTTCACAAATACTTTTCCTATTGTTTCAGTAGTTCAGAGGGGATTTCGGTTTCCACAAAGCTACTTAGATTACTTTCACCAGTTCCTTTTTTATTATGTGGTTGTTATTTAAATTTTGGCCGCTAGATGGAGAGGAGTTTTTATAGATTTTTCTTCCAATGCTAAAATCAAGTTATAATTGGTAGAGAAGAGTGTACTTACTGGACAGGTCACAAGGAGAAAGGATGTGATAATTAAAGTTTCTCTTAACAAGAATTCCTGAGACCCGCTGGCCTTGTTCTGGCTTTTTGTCTGCTAAAAAGCCCATGACCTATGGAGAAACAAATAGAATCAAAATGATGACCATCAGACGCTGAAACTATAAACAGCACAGGAGTTTAGCCATGAAAAATTCAAACCATTTACCTTTTTTTGCAGAGCTGGGGGATGGACCTCAGGGCCTTAGCACTGAGTCACACCCCCAGTGTGCTGCTGATTTTTTATTTTGAGACAGGGTCTCGCCAAATTATTAAGTTTCCTAGACAACTGTAATTCTCCTGCCTCAGCCTCACCTCCCAGACGGCTGGGATTACAGGTGTGCGTCCCCACACCTGGCTGAAACCCACCCTTACTAGTACTGTACTCTCTGAGTACAAAGGAATGGACTCAGGAGATAAAGGCCACTCCACTGGCACACAGCAGAGCAAGGCAGCCAGGTCGAGACATCCTGGTTCTCGGAGCTCTGAGTGGAGACAGCGCAGTGTCGCAAGGCTGCCCAGGGCCCTCTCCTCCGCACCGCCTGCGACTTTCTGAAAAGGGCTTTGCTGGGAGGCTGACTTAACAGGTGATGCTCGAGGCGGGAACAACCAACCTAGGGCTGCTGTTACTTTCGGTCCTTCTTTGGCCACCCCCAGGAAACACAGACACACAGACAGAGAGACACACAAACATCTGAAAAAGACTTTTGATCAAGAGAGATAAAAACACAGATTTGTCTGGAATCCCTTGAAAATCCCAGGTAAGGTTTTTTATTTGTTTCTTTTGGTATCGGGGATTGAACTCGGGCCTTTGCTCTTATGAGGCAGGCGGTGGAACCACTGAGCTAAATCCTGGGTCCCTCAGGTAAGGTTTTTTTTTAAACCTATTTCAATTTTAAATTCTAAAAATATTGCATTTTGCCATCCAGTGATGAATTCTCAGTTTTGACACACGCCATCACCCCCAACAGCACACCGGCCTGGCTCTGGATGCTCAGGGAAATGACACAGGGGACAGCATCTTGCTGGACGTGGGGAACAGCAGATGGGCTCTGTTCCCCCTCGGCCATGGGAAGGAAAAGCAGGTGGGGAAAAGCATTAAAGGCGATCAGATTCCAACGCAGAGGTCTCATCTCGCTGAAGGTTTCCTGTGGAGATGACAGGAGAACCGAAAGAGGCCCAAAAACACCCGGGTAAAATCCCGAGCGCGCCAAGGAGACAGAAATAAGAACTCTGTCTCCATATCATTAATGAAGGTCTATTTTCTGAAAGGCAGATCATAGGACACAGAACAAATCTGTGGCAAAAAGGGAGGTGACCAGGAGATGGAGGAAGGGGAAGGGGGGGTGGGAAAAGATCTGTGATGTGTTACGTGCATCGCAGACCCCACACGAGGAGAGGAGTCATGGAGGAAGAAGAGTCTGAGCTCAGTTTAGGCAATTCAGAGACTGAGCAAGTCGCTGTCCACAAACGCAAAACAAAAATGAGCTGGGATGTAGCTCAACAGAAGGCTCTGAGCATCAGAAAGAAAGTGCATTAAAATTGTACTTTACAACTGCATTAACACCAAGACATCTACAATCTAGGCTGGATTAAAAATGGAAAAAAAAAAAAAAAAGGTCTATTTTTCTTAAGAATATTCTTTCCTGTCGGGCAGGGCAGGGCACACCTGTGAGCCCAGCAATCAGGAGGCTGAAGCAAGAGGATCCCAACTTGAGACCAGCCTGGGCTATGTAGCGAGATCGGGTCTCAAACAAAAGCAAGCAACAAATCTTGCTCCCTGAAGCAAAACCCATGGCCGGGGTGAGGCGCCGTCAGTCACCTTGGCTAGCTTCTCTCCCCTGAAGTTCAGGGTCACGGCCTCTGTGTTCCGAGGGTTGTGCACCTCTATGTGGACCTCGTCGTTGTCTTCGTACTCGCGAATAAGCGCTGCCTTCAGCCTGGCCATCTCATTCTGCTCTCCATGCACTAAAATCTGCAGAGAAGAGCACAGGGAGACATCGCTCAGATGAACACTGCTCCACCGGCCTCCTGCCCCGAGTCGTGAAGCAGAGTGTGCTTGCAGCCAGGAAACTTTAGTGCTCTTAATGACCTCCAGCCCATCAAAATTGTATAGAAGCCCTTGTGATCTAGCCTTATGTGTCAGGTGTGGTGGGGCAGAAGGCTGAGGGTTGTAGTTGGAGCCCAGCCCCAGGAACTCTGAGACTGTCTCAAAATAAAAACGACGATGGGCCAGGGGTGCAGGTCAGTGTGAAGACCGGGGTTCGATTCCTGGTGCTGAATAAAAGCCAAAGAAAAGGAATCCCAGCCACAGTGAGTCAGCACCCACACCGACTGGAAAGGGAAGTGAAGCCCAGAGCTGGTGCATCTCCCTACAGCGGAGGTTACGGGGCCACAGAGGCGGAAATTCGGGAATTCCGGCCCCGGCTGTGACACGGGTGAGCCTTACAAACCCCCCAAGGGTGTCCGACCCTCGCACGTGGGACTTCGGGAATGGGCAAAGTTACAGAGGCAGGAAGTGGGCCGCCCGAGGCGGAGAAGGGACGGGCTCCCTGCTTAGAGTTTCTCTCTGGAGTAAGGAAAAGGCTGGAAGGTCAAAGTTGGGGACAGCTGTGTGACTGCGAATGCCGCTAGGGCCACTGAATCAGACACCGACATGGCTGGACATGGCGAATGTTAAGTTACGTAGATCTTACCAACAACAAACGAGAACTCATAAAAGGCCATCTCCTCTACAATAACTTTTCAGTGCCTTCCGAAAGGTAACGTCTTGTGTTTTCCACAGACACAAGCTCCATTGTGTTCTTCCAATCAGCAGTACAGACTGTTCTTCCCAAGCCCACCCAACACTTCCACAAAACTGAAAACTACAAACATGTCACAGAGTAGCGTGACTTGCATCTGTTTGAATCTGGAGCTCTCACACGACCCTCTCTTCTCTCCTTGCTCTCATCAGCAGTATGATTAACCACGGACTACAGCAGGTGCTGCCGGAAGGGGACCTGAGCTGCAAACCGGTCACCTTCCTGGGCCTGGCCCTTGTGGTGCTGGGAGGTGGCAGAAAACAGAAAGGACACTGCCCTGGGCTGGTCCGGGTGGTGGAGCTGGTGTGGGTGGAGGAGGCAGAATGAGAGGCACGGGCTCGGGGGGGCCAGGAAGGCGGAAGCCAGTGCTGTCTGCAGCCAGTGCTGCAGTTTTTAGGGTCCACGTTCCTCCTGAACCCCATGAGCAAGGTTACAGACTCACCACATGGGGTGGTTTCAGAGCGCGGATAAATTCGCTGGTTTGCTGGTAATCTGTGTGAGCAGAGAAAGAAATGTAGTCAACAGACATTTTCAGCGGCAACTTCTGTCCGGACATGGTGGCGATTTCCTCGGGTTCAGACATGATGTGCTGCCAGAGACAAACACAAGAAGACAAACGAATCGCGCCGTTAGAAAAGCGGAGGCGTCCTCACGTCCCCGCAGCCAGGTGCCCTCTGCCCACCCGCAGGCCTCTGGCTGGCTGACTTGGGGGTGTCCCACAACATGTTCCTGAGCGCCAAGCACAGTCACACCGCAGTCAGTGAGAGGACCAGCTGCTGCCCGTGCAGATGTGGGCTCGGACAGGAAGACCAGCCTGCCCTCCCCGCGCCTGCTCTGGAACCCCGTCCCACACGTCAGGGTTTACCCCTGCTCTGGAAATCTATTTTCTAACACATTCTAAAGTGCTGGTACAGTAAGGTAGTTATGCAAACAAGCAAAAGGAACAGTCACGTGTTTTTCAAAACACAGACAGCAGATGTTACTGGATGCAGTGATGTCTGCTTGTGTTCTCAGCTAGACTGTGTGGGAGGCTGAGGCAGGAGGATTTTCAAGTTTGAGGCCAGCCTGGGCAACTTGATGAGATCTTATTTCAGAAGGAAACCAAAACTAGGGCTGGGGATGGAGCTCAGTGTTCGAATGCCTGGCTAGCAAGTGCAAGGCCCTGGGTTCAGTCCCTGGCACTGCAAGAGTAAGTGAATAAATACATGAATAAGCAATAAATAAAACGAACACTATTGGCAAGAAGACAAGAGAATGTGATGCCTGGACATCTATACGTTACCTCTAAAATTTTACACACATTTTCTAAAACATCTACACTGCTAACAGCCGGCATTAGCCATTTTATACCAATGGAGCATGGACATTTTACAGCTGTTTAAGAGAACATATTCCGGGCGTGGTGGTGCACTCCTGTGATCCCAGCACTCAGGAGGCTGAGGCAGGAGGATGGCCACGAGTTCAATTCCAGCCCGGGCTACACAGTGAGTTCAAAGCCAGCCTAAACTATAGACAGAGACCCTGTCTCCAAAAACAAATTAAAATAAAAGGGAATACGTTACAAGCTATGTATCTGTAGTCTACCAATCTGAAACGCTCTGATACATCCGGGAATTCTCATTCCATTGAGCGTCTCCATCATTCAGCCCTACGACCACCTTGCTCCTCGCCTATCACAACCAGAATGTGGTCATTTAGGAACCACTTCCATGGAAGAATGTGGGGACACTACTGCCTTTGCGGTTCTGACAGGGGCACGACCCAGAGACCCCTGACTGACCTTGGCCAGCGTCCCTTCCACACAGTACCCCGCTATGATGACGCCGTTCCTCTTGTCGGTGCACCAGCTCTCGAAGAGCTCCCTGGAAAGGCCGCTCTGCATCATGCCTGGCGAGGCCATGACGACGCTGGGGCCAATGTCGTCGAAGTGGTCCATGCTCTACGAGACAGGCACTATGAGAGCGCGGCAGCCACCAGGCCCACAAGCATTGTGACACAATCACAGGAAGTGAGCTACGGGACTGACCACGTGGCCAAAGCGACCTTACAGGGACTAGCAGACATGGCAGTGCAGCGGCCAAGTTCCTGAATGATTCAGGCTGCAATGACAGGAAGTTAAAGGAGCCAAGAGCAGCGAGTTTACAGTGATCCTCAAAACTTTCTACAGGGAGCCTGGCGTTGGGGTGCACACCTGTCACCCCAGCATTTGGGAGGCTGAGGCAAGAGGATTGCTGCAAGTTTAAGACCAGCCTGGGCTACATAGTGAGCTCAAGTCCAGGCTGGACTACAGAGCAAGACCCCGTCTCTAAAAATACAAAAAATCCACAAAATCCGCCCAGAAACACTTCGTATGTGTAGCTAAAGTGCCACCAGGACCAGGCAGCAGGCAGAGACCTAAAGAATCAAGTGGGTTTCTACCCATCCAAGACAAAACCCTGAAAGAATTTTCCCAATGACTCACAAAAGCTTTGTATAACGTCCAAGTATTTTGGGCATGCCTGGAATCTGATCAAAAGTTTAAGGGTCGAGGATTTAGCCCTGACAAGTGTGAGGTCTGAGTTCAATCCCCAGAACCAAAAAAAAAAAAAGTTTAACACTGTTTCTAGGAAAACCTTGGCTCTAATTCTTAAGCAATTACCTTTAAAAAATCAGCCTTCCAGAGCACTCTATTTACAACTAGACAATTTATTGAGCAGCTTTTTTTCCTCCAGGGATCGAACTCAGGACCTTGTAGTTTGCGGCAGGTGCAGCACCACTGAGCTAAATGCCTGGTCCTTGAAGACCACTTTTGATTTATATTATCTTGGACACGGATGATTTCATCATAATTCAAATATCAACGAGGGCAAAACAACACATTTTTAGTGAATTTGACACAGATTGTACCGAATTCTCTTGAAAAGTGAACACATGGAAAGTTTCACCTATGAAGATTGCACAGCTCATCAATAAGGCAAGGAACAAGAGAGAAACTTAATACGAAACCAAGACATTTTCCTTCTATTCCTCTACCAGGAGCGATGCAAGTTATTTAGCAGCTAGAAATTATGACTTACATGCACAGACTTGAGGCAAGTGCCAGCTGGTGCGGCTCGCCATGCTGGAGGCGCCCCCTGCAGGTGGGTGCAGGCACAGCCACACCCACCCGGCTCTCAGGTGCGGCCACTCACCTTGAGGTTGCTGATGTGCTTGAACACGAAGGGGTTGTTGATGTTGATCTGCTTCCGGATCTTGTCGTTCATGGCGTGGACATAGGTCTGGTACACCGCCATGCACTTCTTAGCCAAGGACGACGCGTAGTAGATGGGGATGTCGTGCAGCTCGGGGTGATTCTGCCAGTACTCGTCTGGAGGGAGAAGCCAGGGGACCTGTCAACACTCATCATTACAGCTTTAAACATTCAGATGGCCACGATAAAGCATGACACAAGTAGATTTTAAGGAGTGTGAACCTGTCATCCCAGCACCCTAGGAGGCGGAGGCAGGAGAATTGAAAGTTGAAGCCCAGCCTGGGCAGCTGAGGGAGACGGTTCACTGTCCTAACCTCCTCTGCTGGGCACGTCACTGGTTCTGCACTTCAATTTAAGTTTCCTAAGGACTAAGAGGACTGGCCGTTAGAAAAGAGGGCCAAGCCAGACCAGAAGACTGGACTGGACTCAGATTTAGAAAACAGGCTTCCGGAATGTCCGTTCCCTGTCACAGATCTGCTCTGCCCAGGGTCACTCCTTCCACCTTCCTTGCTTGCCACTCTCCTAGTGTAGCAGGGTTACTGCTTGTCCTGTCCTCCCACAGCAGCCTGAGAGGGAACGCTTGGGAGCTGTCACTTCTAGCGCTTTCCTCAGAGCTACACACGCAAGGCTGCTGGCACCAAGCCCCGCTTCTCAATGAAGGAGCCGAGCCGGGAGCGCTGCGACAACTCCTCCAAGGCCCTCACGTCACCTGTGGAGAAGGAGGCAAGGTCTGTCGTCTCCCCAGGGCGGAGGACGCGCATACCTAGAATCAAGAGCAGCTCCTGAGCCCTTCCGAGTGCGAAGACGGGGATGAGGCCCCTGCCACCCCTGTTGACGATGTCGTGCACGGTGTTGCAGAACCTTGCCTCTCGCTCCTCGCGCTTCTCATGGATGTGGGTTCCGTAGGTCGATTCCTAAACAGAGACGAGACGCATCAAACTAGGACCAGGCCGTGAGCCTCAGGAACTCCAGCAGTGATGTCGCACCGTCAGAAAGGACAGCAAGTAAGATGCCACACTGAGATCTAACGAGGGGTTCAGACAATGGGAGAGCGGACAGTCTATGTGGGCACAGAAATGCACCTTCTCCCCAAGATGATCTCGCTACCCTGGGCTGGCAGGCCATTGCCACCGCCGCTTCTGCCTCTGTTCAAGGGCCTCCCCGAGGGGCCCACCAGCTCCCAGGGGACTCAGCAGATGCGCAGCCCTTCAGGGCCCTGCGCAGAGTGACCCGGTCAGTCTACTGTGTCCATGCTCTCAACTCCCTGCTGCTGGGAACACAACTTCCCTTAAGTGAGGTCGGTTTCCGTGCTGGGTGGACCAGGCGCGGTCACACAGAAGCCACTCTGCATGGCGACAGCCACTGGACCCTCACGGGTGGCTGGGGGCTGCAGGAGGGGCAGGGGGAGACATAGCTTTTTCACCCTGAGCCAAGTGCACCTGGCACTCATGTACAGCCACTGCCAGTCACCAACACGCAGCTTCTGGTCTGCGCCTTCAGGGCCCCACAATTCCCCTCCTTGGTTCCAAAGGACCTGCAACCGACCATGCAGCTGGGACACAGAATGCGCCGTGACAAGCAGTGCAGGCGTGTAAGAGGACAAAGACGGGCACCGGGGCAGAGGCAGTGGGGGCAGTGTTTCCCAACAGCCTCGAAGGCACTCCCAGACACACAGGTGCAACTCTCACAGCAAAATGTTCAGGAGACAGGGAGGGACGCCTCAGTTCAAAAGCCACTGGCCAGAGCCAGCCCGATGCCCCAAACCCCAGAGGGTTGGCACCGCGGGCCAGCAAAGAGGCCAAGCAGTGATGCGAAGAGCAGCCAAAAACAAACTCTCGTACAAAGAAAACCCAAAGCTTACATCCAGCCACACTATGAATGCAAGACTGATTTTTTTTTCCACGAGAAAAAATTCGGCTTCCATGACACCGACAACAGCACAGCACGCTCCCACTTACGATGATCAGAATGTCTGGCTTGATGTTGGGGATTTCAGCCGCCATCAGGTGTCGGTCTTCCTGTCTTGAGAAATCACCGGTGTACAAAAGCTGCGAAGAGATACAGAAAGAGAAAACTGCACTCAGGATTTAGGGGTCATTTTGCTAGTGAATGTGTTAATTTTGTGAACTCTAACAGCAAAATTCAACTTAAAAAGAGAGGCTATACCTGAGGAGCTCTGGGGGCAATGCTTGTGTCCAAGTCAAGATGTGTGACCTGCTGGGTCCCTGACCACCGTGCGCACCACATCCCCAAAGCTAACCCTACACTAGAGAAGGAGGGGCAGCGCCTGCCTCAGTGAGGACCCGCCAGTGGGAAGGGCTCCCGGGGGAGAGGATGTGGGCTTTGCTTCCCATCCCGAACCTGCACTTGGGTTATTTCCTGCTCATTCCACCACCCCCGGTACCAGAGATTGAATGCAGGACTTCGTGAGGCAGGCACAGGTCACTGAGCTAAAGCCCCGGCCCTTCCTGCTCATTTTTTATGCTCTGAGGCAAACAAGAAAGATTTGCTGATACACTGTGTGATTCGGCACACCAGAGTCTCCCCTGGGAAGGCGGCCCAGAGGAGACTGGTGCTCAGCTCAGCTCTGCATGGCTAAGTCACCTACAGAACTCGGGGGAGCCAGCCATACCTCCGGACTCCAGTTGGAGAGTATTTTTAATAGTTGTGCCAAATGCGGAATCCTGTGCCAGAGTCTCAAAACCTTTTAGCTCACCCAGGTTTTCACAGGGTTTTTGGTTTGTTTTTAGTACTGGGGATTGAACCAGGGCCCTCACACTGAGCTACATCTCTGACTCATTTTTTTAAACTTTTTTTATTTTGAGACAGGGTCTCATTAAATTGCTTGAACTTGTGATCCTCCTGCCTCAGCCTCGCTAGTGCTGGGATGCGGTATCCCCACCACGCCGAGCGGCGCTGACTTCTCTCGGGACACAGGGCCTGGGCCAGGAAGCACCTTCACGCCTGCGATCTCGATCATGAACATGGCAGCTCCCAGCACGTGGCCGGCGTGGTAACACCAGAACTTGATCCCCGCCACCTCCTTCACTTCGTGAAAGTTGATCGTTTCGATTTTGTCCATGCTCTCCTCCAAATCTGTCTCGGTGTACAGCATGTCGTCTGCTGATATGTTGCTGTAAGAGGTCAACAAAAGAGTTAAGACTATCACTTCCTAATAAGTCTGAACTCAAAGAAGTGGGTGACACAACCATGAAGGTATTTCTCTAAAATACAGTGTATGGCGTGTGCTATTTAGAACCTCTCTTTTTTTTACTTTGTGATTATAATAAAACTGTTTGGTGTTCATAACCACAAAGCTAGGCAATAAATTCAAAGTATTCTCCATTTTTAGTAAAACTTAACAGTAAATTACGACAAAGTACTCTTTTCTTTGTTTTTCTGAGACAGGGTTGCTATGTAATCCAGGCTGGCCTTGAACTCACTATGTAGCCCAGGCTAGCCTGGAACTTGCAGTGATTCTCCTGCCTCAGCCTCCTGAGTGCTGGGACGACAGGCCAGCTTTACAGTACATTTCTAACACACTTACAGCTCACGAAGTTTACCAAAACTGAAAAGGACATAGGGCTGGGATTTAACTCAGGGGCACTGCACCTGCCTCACAAGCACGCAAGGTCCTGAGTTTGATCCCCGGTACAGAGAAAAACAAGGACACAGACAAAATAGTCAGAAGGTGCCGACACACGTGTTTAGCAGCTTGTTGCCGAACGCCTACACTCCCGCCATCCTGGAGACCGAGGAGTGCCTGCGGCTGAAGCACTGGACAGTCTGTCTCAGGACTGAGGGGCAGTCAGGTGGCTCACCTGACTTTGACGTAATCCGAGAGAAGCCATCTGTAAATGGCTTTGGTGGCGTGAGTCATGAACGTCCTTCCTTTGAAGCTTGTCTTCTGCAGAAACCAGGGCAAAGCGCCACAGTGATCCAAGTGGAAACTTTGGGAAACAAGGAAATCGGGGAGATTCTTAAAGCACCATTCGCCGTGGACTATAGGTAATAAAATTGTTGCTCAAGCATCAACAACAACAACAACAAAAAATGTTTTTTTTTTTTTTTTTT